TTTTTGATCTGCAAGAAATAGAGGTGAAAAAGCAAAAAAGTTATCTCAACATAAACAGATCATCTTAAGGCTGGAAGAAACTTCGAAACGGCAAATGATACTATTTGCGATTAACTTAATCCAAGCTATATATAACGTTGACGTTTCAACTAATATCTCTAGGCATAATGATCTTAGAAGTTGCGCAAAATCTTCACAAAACATCTTTTTGATTCTCGGCTACAAACACACATTTGAAAACTAATTTTGACACAGTAAAAGTCGGCATAAATTACGTTCTTATCATACACAAGGCAAATTATTAGTTAAGCAGATGATAATCCCTCCTCATAAATGACATTTCGCTTCGCATCCCATGGCTTTTCTTCAGGGCAATTCGATATAGTATAAACAGCATGTGCAGGTAAAGAATATTTTAATCGTAAATTCGGAAAGAAGGGTAAGAGATCACTTTTGTTCATTTTCAAGAAAAAAGGAGACCCTGGACAAATCGAGATATGCTTGCTCGTGAATTTCACCGTTTACACTTCAGATGAAGTGTGGAAGCTACGATAACCCCGTATTTCTTGCCACAATTTACTGTCATTTCTAATGGACGATATGATCGAGGCAGGCCAGATTTGCAATTCGTCGAAAAGTTTAGTTCAATTTCGTTGTATTCAGCTAATCCGGATAAATCCAGGCATTAACCCTGTGGACTGTATTAACTTCTCCGGCTTGAGTTAAGCACACTTGCGAGTTGTGATGTTGATATGCCGTTTTACATTTCGTTCTAGTATGCGATGATGTTACGTTTTTTGGTATTTTGGAGTAACTGAGCATCCACGATCTTGTCAAGTAGTCTGTAAATGAAAATTCTACTTGAGCAAGCGCGCTCAGATTCATGTAGCCCGTTACGTTCCCGTCCATGGAGCAGCGACATACCTCAGTACTTGCAGAACAGCGGTCGAAAATATTAAGTGCCTTTGCACAAATATATTGAACAAGAAATTGTTTTCTCTAGAGTACACTTAACTAAGATGCCGTGAAAAGATGACATGCAAGACTTAGCTTACCATGCTGGCCAACCCTTAGGCAGATATGATTATTATCTGTTTGGCTAGTAATTTGAGCGACTGAAAAATTTCATAAACTACGTTTGAGGGTCATTAAAGAAGCTGGTCCCCTCCTTATTTCCGGATTTGTAATAAGACCATCATTCTCTCACAGAGATTATCTTCAGACATAAGTAGACATTATCCTCTGATAATCAGATTTTTGGGGAATGTGGCGGGGGGTCACGTTTACACAGAATGCACTCAGGTGTACATCGTTTTGGCATGTGATGTGATCAATTTGTTTCGTGCATACCGAATGGACAACAGTTGGCAAAACCGAGTCCTTAGCAAAAGCGACGAGTCATCACAAATAGCACTTTCCGCATTCATTTTTTACCTCACTGCAATCAGTTAAAAACAGGAACTTTGGTGAAGAGCTAAAATAGAAGCAACAAGAGCAGCTCTGATTTATTCCAATATGACCCACTTAAAAGATAAACACATCCACATTCGCAGCTGCCCAACAAAGGAAAAAGAAAAACTTCACTGTGAAAAAGTGAACTTGTTTACCCGATCGATTGTGACACGATTGAGTTTTACAACAATACAGTGGGTAACGAGAAACTTGATCTGTCGATAACTAATGAACGCAATTGCCTCTAAGCGCCAAGTGGAAAATCGTTGACCCTTATCGAAATACTTATTTCACTGTAGCGAAGTCTACTTCGAGGTAGACTCAGACTACTTTCTACTTGCCCCTCAGTCTGCCTGAGTATACAGGAGGCCGGAATTGTGACTTTCGCTATGTGACGTCCCCTGCATTCGCAGCAGGTTGATCTAATATCCCTAATGCTGCAGACAGAAGAGGATGTTAACGATAAATTTATCATTCACAGGTGAGGCTCACCAACAGTAATCGCTGTAATATGCGAATTGAGACAGTCATTGTACTCGCTACTCACACCTCCGTAACAAGTGATCAGCTAAAAGATAAATGTTTGCGAAAATGTGCTGCAGGACTAAATCCCCATATGAATCGAATCACAAAAGGTTTCATATCGTAGAAACACTTCTAGGTACTGTACCGTTGAGTAAAGCTAAGGACTATGATGGTACACTAAACGAAACCAGAAATCAAGTAGTTTTATGCTGACTAACGGTCAAAGTAGTGGTACGGATCGTACAGCGCTGGACTGCCAGTCGAAAGGCCTTAGATTCGAATTTTGACTGGGTCACTCGCCTTGTATCCTTTGGACAAAGGAAGAAAATACATGCTTCAGCAGCCAATAACCTGCAGATATGTCTGCAAGAAGTATAGTACACTGTACTGACAGCATCAAAACAGACATCAGTGCCATATTACAAGTTTCATAACAGAAGGACAACAAATGGCACCGATCATCATTACTCATGCTACCTGCCACGATAAGTGGACCATGGGTCACACTGGATGAAACAGTCCGCTCGAGCAGACCCACTAATTGCGACATGGTTCCGAGCACCCATCACATAACCCTCTGACACGACGACGCTAATGTCGACCAGACAACTAATTATGATTAAAAGATATGCTAGCATATTTTAAAAGCATACATATCACTCGCCAGAAAGGTAGGCGAAGCAATTATTTCTTGCCCAGCCGACAGATAGAAGGCCCAGGGGACGGCCAAGATTAACCCGGTGCAAATATATGGAGGGAGTCTGTTCTAGACTTCATTTATCTTTTGCAGGAGCTCAGACTCTGGCACGGGATCGGGAACGTTGGAAGCACTCTCTGACGTGCCTGCCTCCGCGACCCGAAAGGAGAAGCGGCGATGGAAGATGAAGATGACATATCACTCGCTTAACATAATTAATGTAATATCCATGGAAACGGTGTACAAAGAAGAAAAATTTCTGATCATTGGAGTACCGATTATTTTTACACTATCATGATGAAACGATTTCTGGCAGCCATCGCTTCATAAAGCTAAACGTGAGGCGCTGATGTCAATTTTCCATGCCATCAGCCAATGGTGTCGCACTTTAATCTTAAACGACAATAGGTATGTGGCAAGCAATGTATATGGTCTCTGTTTCACTCATACAGAGTGGTACTCATTTACCAACCTTGGAAGGAAAAAAACGAATCACCGTCGGAGGCTTGAACCCAAAACCCTTCAATTCTGAATACAACGCTAAATCGGCTGAACGATTCCGGTCACAGAATTCGGTAAATACGTCCTTTAAGCACTGTCTGCAAAGTTAAATTTCGTAACTGCAAAATTAAACCTCCACCAATTTCACCGCATACATTTCTAATTGGTTTTCAACTTCTAGGAAAACTACCCAGTGATTTTTTACAAACATTGGTTGCTTTAAACGTGTTTGCTCAGATCATAATAGTGAGTCGTTTGCATAGGCAGAATGTCTCTTATTTTTGACATTCGTTCCGCTGTACCCGCAGCTTCTCAACGATGTTTCTATATGGCACCGGTTATTGCACTACAAAACGATATATTCCTCTCGGTAAGCAGATCTGCCTCTACTTGGTTCCTCCATGTTGTATGCTGGACTCTTCGTCGACGTCTGCCGTGTTTCAGCTTACACAAGAGAAGCTCACGGGCTAGACTAACCATTGTAGCCAGTTTCTCTAACAGGCTCTACCTCCTATTCTTAATCTCAACATCCAACGAGAACATCTTCACCCCTGTTCCACTTAATCAGCTGATCAGCTGTGGCGAACGGGTTCCTCACAACTTATGACCTCCGAGCTTTCAAGAAGAGGCCAACTTTCGCAGCTGTATTGCATACCGAATAGGTCCCTGCTTCCCGTATTATTCAAAAGAAAAATTTCATCTTAGTACTTCCGGTTAGCCTGATACGTAGCCGGATATCTTGAACTACGCTCTTTCTCTAAAATGAGACCTTTGGCTTTGCCTGGGTCAGCGCTATTTCGGAGTAAAAAGTCAGAAACCATGTTGAATAGCAAAGGCGACTGGCATACTGACACATCCATCTGGCGGATTCCAAAGTTAGCAGGGAACCAGTACGATAGCTCTCAGTTCAAATCTGAATGCAGACATGATTCCTGAATACATCTCTTCCAAAACAATACAAGACGTGTTCAGGATTGACCACACCATTTCAACATTTTTGACATCGTCAGACGTCACAAAGCGGACGAAGAACGCATTATAAACTTACGCGTTTTACAAAAATCATGCCTTGACATGAGCATTAAAATTGGGATTATGGACGACTATGGCTGATATTTATGCGCATCTGAGAGCAGACACAGAAAAGTGGAAAGGAGTGATTGTAAGGAACGGCTCCAGCAACCTCGAAAATAATAGCATGAAGTTGCCACCATTTTGTGCAAACAACAGGCTGTCCATTATGAAAACCTTCTTCGAGCAGCGAAACGTTCACCACTGTTTATGGTATAGAAAAGCCACGATAAGTACAACGAAATCGATGCCTGACTGGCTAATCGCATCGCCTTACTTACCACGTTCTGTAGTGGATGCTCGTGTTCAAAGAGGACTAGAACTGCCAGCTGATTAATACCTTGTTGTTGACACGCTAAGCTGCCATAAATGTAGAACAATGCAATGATCTACTGGCAGAAGCAACCAGAAAATCAAATGAAAAATGTTATCTTCGATGGACACGAGAGCGAATTTTGCAAGCAACATCGCACGACGGTTTGAACAGATCCCAGTGATGCTGAAACCGAGTGGCAGCTTTTTAAGAGCGGCATATTCGATGCTGCCGCCGAAGGCTATGGATTCAAACGGATTGGCCTGTCGCCTGGAGGTCAGAAAAAAACTTTCTCGTTGACACGAGAGATACAGCTGACAGGTGACGAGAAGGCCGCATTCAAGAAATGGTTTGGAAGCAAAGAACCTTCTATTCACATGCGATAGGCTGAAG